TTCTATTTGTTGCCAAAGCTATCACTCTGATGTGATGCTCGTTGAAGAGCACTGAATTCTCTGGGGAGGGCCTAGAGGGGTGGAAACCCACCTTCAGAAGTGTATAGACTACATGTCCAGAAACAATAGCTTCACACACTGAGGTGTGTGCTTAATAAAGGTCCTGGTGCTGTCTAACAATAAGTTTTGACTTGCTCTGGACAGGCCTAAGTGGAAGTAGGCTTTGGAAAGATTTCCCATGGGAGACTTGGGTACTTTTGTGGGCTCTTGGGAAGGACCAAGATCACAGAGGATACATGGGTAGAAACAGAGGGTTACTGATAGAGTAGAAGGCTGAAAAATGGCTGCTGTGTTTTTAAAGGATCATAAAAAGGCAAAAACAAAGAATACATGACAACAGCCCTACGTGGCCCACAAAACCTGAACTACTACTACCTGGCCCTTTACAGAAAACGTTGGCCAACTCCTGGGTCAGTGAGAGCGATGATTCTCAAAGTGTGGTCCCTGGGCCAGCCGCTGCAGCAGCCCCTGCGAGCTTTTAAGACCGGCTGGTTTCCATAAGGCCCCATCCCAAACTTTCTAAGTCAGCCGTGTTTTTAACAAGCCCTCTAAGGGATTCTGATGCACAAGTGCATTGGAGAAATCTCTAAGGTGGGAGCCAGAAGGGAGCGACAATAGATGTCAACCATTCAAGTTGGGCTGCTAACCACAAGGTTAGCAGTTCAAAACCACCAGCCACTCCACAGGAGACAGATGAGACTTTCTACGCTTGTGTGGATTTACGGTCTGGGAAACCCACGGGGGCAGTTCTACACTGTCCTTTTGGGTCACCATGACTCAGTGGCAGTGAGTTTGTTTTAGTTTTTCCTCTCTGAAACAGAAGGCTATATTACCTGCAGGGATGGGGCTGGGGGGTGTTGTGATTTTTTTAAATCCCCTTGAAATATTGCAGTCTAGGCAGCAGCCAGGCAGGGAACCAGAAGCAGGCAAGGAAACTTGGTGGTGCCAGTCCCTCCAGCTGCACTAGATGGCTCCATTGAGAAGAAAATGGGAATGGGGAAGGGCCGGAGGAACTGGGCGGTGGTGAGAGGCTCTAACCTAAGGTGACCAAGTGGGACAGTCCCGATTTTTGGCGTTTTAAAAAAGTCCCAATTTCTGGAAAGAATACACGACAAGCTAGGGAATGGTCTATTTGGTCCATATAGACCAAAGTTTTAATCAAGAACCCCACCACCACCACCCGGTCAATGGTGTCCTGCTTTAAATCCAAAAATGTCCGTGGGAAAACTGTTTGGGGGAGTGTCTCTGTAGGCTATTCTTTCTCAAGATGCTTGGCATAAGCAGATATTATTAAACTATATATGGTGCAGGATGCCTGGAAGTGTTTTTAAAAG